TAAAAAAGTATTATTTTTTTCATGAGTGACCATGTAATTTAAGGAAGTTCTAAATTTTAGAAATTAAGCCTCTTTTTTTCTCTCTTTTTTAAACTATTTATAAAATTTTTGCTAAGTAATCTTTAATTATGTATCCACAAGTGCTCATACTTCAAATACATTATGACATAAAAATAATGTGAGCAGCATTCACTTTATTTGTGCAGTTTTATTTGACTGAGGTTCCCTGACCCCCCGGTCAGACATTTAATCATGCATTCTACACATACTTCTAACATATAATAGCCCTTTTTATAAGGTTATGCAATCACTGGCAGCAAAATATGATCATCTTATTTGTCTTGTTTACACCAAGAATATCTTGGCTTCATTAATATTTTCTCATCACGCAAGATATGATATTTTTCTATTGCATAAATATTTGACATCAGAACATCACCTGTAGTGATAAAAGATAGCATATTTCCATCTATTTACCTTTAGGCATGATTGTATCTATCCAAAAGATGACACTTTCAAGAAATCACATTATTTAATATTCAGAATTAATAAAAATCAATGATAAGAAAACATGCAGACACCAGACTCTGTAAGACTAAAAACTAAGCCACATGGGTAACATTTGAAAAATGAAATTAGCACTGGATTTTGCAAGATGACCCCCTGTGGTGTCACAGCAACAAAATTATGCAAAGCTTCATACAACTGAAGGGGTCCTCTGAAGGCTCTGCTTACTGATCTCTGGCAGAAAAGGTCACAGGCTATGTTGGAGGGATTTTCCACAGGGCTAAAAGGCAGGAAACAGTTGGAAGGAATGAAAAAATACTTCACAGGCAGTAATAAAAATTTCATAGGGTTTTCATGTGAAACGGTATAACTGATTTTGTAAAATTGACCAAGACTTAAGCTCAGTCCAACTACATTGTTCTATAGCATTTGCATTTTAGAATGACCATTATCTACTCATAACATACATATAAATAGTGCTTTATTGACCTTGTTAAAGAAGAAAATGAAGCACTTTGATATAAACTTACAAAATTATTACTCAAAGAAGAGAAGGCAGACAGGGGTTAAAATCATTAAGAAACCAGAAAATATTTCTTACTGATAAAAACTGCACTGTCCTCTCTGGGACTCTAATTAGCTCTCTCCCCTTTAAGAAAGAACATTGTTTCTAATTTCCTTACTAGTCTTATGGTAGCATTCAAGGATTCAGAGGAATACTTAAACACGTAATCACAAAAAATAATTGAGAAGACATTCAGCATTTTAAAATAGTGGATAATTCCTGAATTAAGTCTTCACTTGACTCATGCTTCCATTAATCTCCACTCTGAGGTCACACTGGCTTGCACTCTATTTTGAAGCATTTGTCTGAGAATCTCATTTTCTCCTTTCCATTGTCAAAGCTTTTGAAACTTCTGACTGAGTAGTAGCATTGCACTGCATATACTGATGTTTTGCAGCTCAAAAAACCAGGCATAAATAATTCCTTATACTGCTTCTTTTCACAAATATAGCTACCAGTTCAAAACGATAAACCAACTACAGAAAATGCGTGTGACAAGCACATGATTTGGAGCTCTTGCCAGCAATCTCCCACAGCAGGCTCTGGTAATCATTCACTTCTCATCACTGTCTCATTCTATGCTTAGTATGAGAGCTTTTTTACCCTTTTCTAGCTGCAAGTCCTATATAAAATCTGAAGTTATGTACTCATTTATCTGGGATTTGTCAGTGCAAATATGTTACTGCTAGTGATTTGAAGAGTTGGGCTGAACTACAGTTCTCGATTCTTTTTTTTAATTTTTTTTTTGGCAAAGAGTTTTGTATTTTCTTCTCCAGGATCCCTGATTATTTTCCTTCATATCAGAATGATAGTACCAAAAATTATCTCAGTAAAGAGCCAGCTCCAGCAGCAGGCAAAGTAGGCAGTAGCCTAGGGCAGCTGACAGCTTGCTTCTTCAGTATCAGAAAAGAGATGGACTGGCTGTGCTTGCCCAGCTGGTCCCTGGCCTCTACTTACATGACTTTGCCCATGGCTGCCAAAGGACTGAGGGGGAAACGGGGCATTTCTCTTCCCAGTAGTTGCACCATTAGTAACACTGACAGGAGCAGAAAGTCACCTCTGTTTCGACCTCTTCCTGTACCTCCTCTTTGCAGGACAACATCCAACCCTTCACCCAGTGATCGACCCTCCCCATCACCCCAGCAGGTCTCTATCAGAGAACCATGATGAGTGCTGGAAGAAGCAGGGGGGCAAGAGGAGGCAGATAACTGCATGGGGCAAGGGACATGCTGGTCATAAAAGTAAGAAAGATCTTAGAGGGACTGGACACAGGTTGGCATAGAAGAGGAAAAAAGAGAGACACCTTAAGCATTCTGAAACTTGGGGACTCCTCCCTGCCTATAAGTATTTCCTAGGCTCCCTTCCACCAGTGTAATTTTCTGATTAAACTCTGCCAAGCCCTCCTAGTTTCCTCTGCCACCAACCAAAAAAAAATAAATAATTGCTGCCAAGAAAACCTGATTTGGCTCCAATAGAAAAATTAAACTGTGGAACAAAGGATCTCCCATTCCATAGGCAGCTTCCTCCATCTTCTTTACTGTTTGCCCATAATTTGCTAACTTCATGCTTGTCTAATTTAATATCCTCCTCCATCACCTCAAACTACATCTCTATATATGCTCACAAACTACATGTCTTTATATGCTCATAATCATACTATATATCAAAGTCTTATAATTACTCTTGCCAGAAACAGAAAACAGTACAACTCCGAAGACCAGAAGAACTAGATAGATTTTAGAGCTCTATCATCAGCTGTGCCCCTTCAAGTTACAGTTTTGCAAGACAGCAGGTCAAGAGCACCACTAACTCCCATTGCTGTCCTTCCAGTGCACAGTTCAGGGCATCTCTCAATCACCCACTTCCCAAACATGCATAATTTTTTTCCATAAAAATCCACTTGAATTTGGTTCATACAACATCACTTACATGGAATAACCCATCACCTGTCTTTCTCTCATATTCAATCAACTCATACCTATTGCACCTGAAATTTGCTAAACCATCTTACAAGCTCAAAGCAGGTCCTAACATTACCCCTTTTCCTAGAAACACTCCAGTTGTTCTTGTATTGACTCCATCTATTCTGGAACTTCCTTTTCACAAAGTTTCTACTTTGACAGGTAGGAAAATTCTAGCTAAAGATGTCCCTGCTCACTGGAGGGAGTTTGGACTAGATGACCTTTGGGGGCCCCTTCCAGCCTGATGCATTCTATGATTCTATGAAAATCAACTAATCTGTTATTAACATTTACCTATTCACAATGCATACCTTCTGATTGGTTATACAACTTTTACCTTAACCTGCAGCCCTCTGTATGCAGTAAGTTAACCATGAACTGACCATGAACCATCCCTACCATGTTTTGTTCACCATATCTGAAAATAGCTAGAGAGAAACAAAACTCTTAACATCTACAGACTGTTTTCTGGAAGGAGAATAACTGTGCCCAAGATTCAAGAATTTGTGTATTCTAGGTGATTTAGGGAGATCTGAAGACCCATAGCAACAACATCAGAGGTTAATCGAGCATTTAAAACAGAAGCTAACAATTTCAAGGGTGAGGAAAAAGAGAGACACACTGTCAGAAGAAAATGGAACCTTGACTGTGACAGTAGGCAAAGGTTGAAAGCACTCATTGCAGGGAACAGTATGAGACCAACTCTGAGTCTGAAGACAATGAACAGCTTGGAGATATGACCACCATGAGAAAGCCTTGTGACTCTCATGGGACCCTGAGCCATCAGAGAATGCCCCAACAGATCCACAAATGAGCAGAGGATGCCACATACCCACTTATGACCTTGCTTTAGTGCGTATATCTGTGTCTTTTGCGCTACGGTTGGTTTTAGAAGTCCCTCATATACTACATGCAAATGCTAAGACTGAGCATTCCCATGCCCTGGAGAAGGAATACAGCCAGGGACTGCAAAAAGTGAATTTTACATCTTGTCCCACATACTTACAAGTTCTGTAAAGCTGTTTGAATATGTTACTGGAGTAGGCTGCTGGCTTACTTGCCAAGAAATTTGCTGCAACTAGGAGAAAGTCCACCAAATTAGATCTCTTCCTCCTCTCAACCCCAGAAGAGGCAGATAAAACTCTGTGCTTTTAATTTTGCCTAATAGAAATCCATATCGTGGTCTGAATGGAATAGAAACTACCATCCCAACTCCATTGAAGATGTTTTCTGAGACACTGTATCAACTGCAATTTTTAAATTGTCTTTCACAAGGCACACTACGGTGCCAGTAAAACCCCAATGCACTGTCTGGAAAGTTTTATCTACAAAAGACTCCAAATAACATTTTAACAGAGAGAGAAGTGTCTGAAGTCAGTGTGTAGGTCAAACAAATCAAACAAAAAAACACACTTAATTTTCTTCCCCTCTGCCACTCTGGCTGGTTCAACTACAGATGGCATGATGTTATCCCCCTTCAAGTCAGTTTGCTGACTGCCTCCCTCAAAAATTAATTGAAGAAGTGGATCCTATAATTTAAAATGAAATAGGCTCAGCAGGTGAGTAATCTTTGTCAAGACTGATTACTGAGTATTGATTTTCCACCAATTGTACAAGAAACACTCCACAAGGCCACCTGCACATTAACCTACCATACATACAATCACCTCGGGCTAACATCTATCGAGAGGTCTGTATTTTCAGAGGATGCAGTCTCTAGCTTTTTTCCTCACACATACATTCAATGGCACTCATTTGGGCAGCATTCACACTTTGTACAAAATTGACCATAAATAACTATTTATGCATTTTCATTTTTCAGAAAGAATTTAAGATAACTACCCAGGAAAAAAACTTCATATAACCTAGCACAAACTTAATTGTAAAAACTGTAAAGATAGTCAGTTAGGTTCTCCCATGATATGAAGGAAAGAGATGCTGGATGCGGCAACAGCAGAGTGGCTTACTGTGGCCTGGAAGCTTCTGCTTGGTCCGTCTGAAGCTTCTCGCCCCCTTCTACTTCCATGGTGCAGTAGACAATTCGATTGGGAGCGACTGACTTTAAACCTTGTACCTCCATTATAACAATCTGAGGAAAACAAAGCAAATAGTTTATCCTTCAGAAGACATTACACAGCACAGCTATTGCAGTACTAAGCTCCATGCAGGTAAAAAAAGGGAAAAAAAAAAAGAAAAAGAAGCCCCAAACCCCACTCTCTCAAATCTTCACAGAGAAGAGTTTTAATTTTGCCTTTTTTCAGCGACATATAGTAGGAATTAAAATTTTTGCTCTGTTTCTACATGGACAACGACAAAACCTCACTCCAACCGTAATTTAAATGCCAGTAGATGAATTTGAGACTAATGACTAACTGTAATTCTGAATCCTAATACACAAGCAAATGTATCTTTTAAGCAGTCATCTAAATAAGTAGTTACAGAACGAATAGGTTACAAAGTCAGACTTTAAACAAGACAAGTAAGTACACTCATCACATCTTGAAAGGTTAATCGTTGTGCTGTGACACTGAAGGTTGCAACCCTTGAATCTCAGAAGTGGTTTGATGCTGTGCTGAGCATGAGGCAGGTCAGCGCATTGCTACCAGCCGCGGTCATTTTTTTTTCCCTGCTACCTACATCTCTTCCTTCTCCCAGCTCACTACTTGCAGTCAGGTTCAGCATGCATTTGGGGACAGGGAGGGGGAAGATAAAGGGAAAAACCACCTCTACCAGCTGTGCCCTGAGTAATCTCCTCACCAGGGAAATTCTGAGCTTGGCAGATCCCATAGTTTTTCAGCTCCTCTAAACTACTCAGTTATAGCTTAGAAGAGCCAAATGCAGCCCTACTTCAAATGCTCTCTGCCTTTTATAAACCTCACAATTTGTCACAGTGTGAAATTATTGGAATTTTTACACTTCAGACGTTTCTAATTCAGAGGAGATTTGAAAAGCAAGTGAGGTTTCCCTGCTTGCTTTGGAAAAGCTGCTTTCCTTTCCAGCCCCATTTGGGCCCCTGAGAAGAAACTGGGAAAAACGTCGTCCATTTAATCAGCAGAGAAGCTGTCCTCAACTGAACTATACACGAAAACTAATGTATGTTTGATTGTTTTAAAGGCGACAAAAGTAAAGATTAGTTTTGGTGTCATAAGAGGCAATTGATTTCTTGCAACTACTAAAATATTTTACTATTAAACTGCTTGCATATTTGCCATTTTTTTTCAATTCAAGTATGTTAGGCCAGACTTCACCCCTAGCTGTAAAATCCGTTGTACTTTAAAACTCCTAGAACCTTAGTAATAGCTAGATGTCTTGTAAAATTGCTAGTTTGGTAATATTACAGTGAGATGACAGTCATTGATCATTTAGAACATTTATACGTTACTCATAAATTACCAACACTGCCTATTACGCTTTATAAATAATAACAGCACTTCAGGGAGAATGATGTAATCATCTCTCTTTTCCATCTACTCAAGTAGTTATCAAAGTGATCAACCATCATTGACAGACAGCACTAGAGATCCTTCTAGCTAACACTACCTATACAGCCTTTCCACATGCGAAACATATGACCTCGTTGAATGCAGACTTCATTGTTTATTCATTTTCATTTTGATACTTCTTTTCCTTGAGTTTCCAATTTAATTGCACAGTACATTTGTCTTCAGTAGCAATTCTGGATTCCAGCGATGGAAAAAAGCTGCGTTTCATTAGGAAGGAAACTGTCACTAGCTGATTTACTAGCTCATTAGCCGATAAACAGCTTCCTAACTATTGCTTGTTTATTTCTGAAACTGTCCAACAGCTGAAGAACATAAGCGATTAAATCTTCTCTTACTCCTTTGATATTTTATTTATTTATTTTACGAATTTCTGCAAACAGGCTATTTGAGGAAACATCTAACTTGCAAAACCAGTCACTGTTGCTTGCAGTGATATGCAGGGGTGTCTCTCGCCTTAGCCAGCGAGGTCCACCAGAACATTATAAACGTTACTAGCATCTTTTGCTGTTCTGCCTTAACAACATGCAGTGGCAGCATGAAACCGGGCCACTTCCTCCCCCCTCCCTGCAAGAAATTGTCATTGAGTTCTTATATTCTGTCCTAATGTTTAGACCTGTCATAGGTTTCCTGTTCATTCATGTGCCTGTGCAGTAGCCCTCCGTGGGGATTTTGCTGGTTACCCTACAATTTAGTTAAGTCACACCACAAAAGACATGACATGGATATGTTTACACATTATTCAAGAAATTTGAAATTGTGCATATATGACCTCACATTTTCTAATAATAAAGTATTCTGTCCCCAAGGAAATGCAATCAGCTTTTCTTGTTTGCCCATTTGCATAGAAAAAAGAGCAGATCTTCCATCTTTCAGTCTAAATGAATATCAGTTCAGCTGTTTCCTTTTGCCCTTATGTCCTCTGAGATTTAGCTTCCCAAGAGTAAGATATGCACATACTTGCCCAGCAAGAAACTCAGCTTAGGTGGTTAATGCCATGTTTAAAATGAAAGTTTGCCCTACTAAAAACTGCTACATGTAAAGTAACAGTTTAATTCTTTGCCTTGCACAGGATGAACTGTAAATTACTAACGTTGCACAAGATCTGTCTGTTTTCTTTATCAGTGATGGGGGGAAAAAAAAAGCTAGATTCACCAGACCTAATAGTCTACGTTTCTGGTGTGAGAGGGGAAGGGCTATAAACAACACAAAAATTGTTCCAAATTTACCAGAAATTATATCTCCTGTCATTTTTCATTTCATGATTGTTTCAGTCTTTTACTGTGCTTTTCCCCCAAATACCATATCATTTTTAGTATGTACTTAACGTTTCTCTCTAGAGGCACAGAGAAAGCTTTTCTTCTTCTTACATCTCTCACAAAGAAAACTTTCTTGAAGCTAGAAAACATTATTGACAAACTCTTTCAGGTGCTTCAGAACTACTCTCTGTTATTGATATCTATGGACCATTCCAGGCTTGGTATTGCACTTGGGGCAGAAATAGCACACATGATGGAGATGCACAGGATTCAGCCCAGGAGTAATAAAACTACTTCATCATTTCATATACTTTGGTACTAGGCCCACACTCCAGTTTTACACGCTTGAAGAACTAACACTTTTTTGGCATATAGAATGATGGATCTTACCACTCTCTGAAAGTTGATGTTGGGCATTTACATTATTAGCTAGTAATATTAAAATTGCATACAATGGGATAAGTCATTTCTCTTTTATACAAAGGATTTAAATTTTTTCATCTGTTTATTTTTGATATTTTTTCTAATTCAATGTGTGTATTGATGACATGGGAAAGAAAAATTAATCTGAATTTTCAACATTATACAAAAAAGCAGATGCTCTTTTCACTTAAGAGAAAACATTGTTTAAAGGATAAACATTTTTTTGTTTATTTTAAACCATTTAATAATTGAAATATTTATTCTGTAGCATATCAGTTGTCTTAAACAAACTAAAGCCACTTGAAGTGCATAGCACAGGTGTGGCACCTTCTGACCAACAAATACACAACACACAGTCTGGAAGACTTTTGATTCTGTTATTATTGAAAAAAATTGGCTTTTCCTGAAATGCACATTTGTGGAATTGGACCTGAGCTATGATGTCACCAGATATGTTTAAGTAACTAATTGTATTTGTGGTTTCCTCTTGAAGTCAGCTGAGCTCTATAAAGATTAGGACTGCATCCCTATAGACCAGACTTCCTGCATAATCTCAGTAAACATGAGCTAGTTTCTTGAGGAAAATGCAGAAATTTATAAAAATGTGCTATGACCACCAATAAATTTTGGTTTGTTTTGTTTATTCTCTAAATGCTTTCAGCGAGAAAACACAACTTGTTTGTAAAATTCTGTGGATGAGTTCCTGATAACAACAGTGTTTCATTGTTACATTCAAAAGTATACTTAGGTATTTAATGTATTGGAATTAATTTAAAGTTCCATTTGTGTGGGAGATTCAACCTCCCACACTGCTGTGTGGGCCCAAATGCAACTACTGCTGCAAGAGGAAAATGCATCACATAGCTGTATTCTAACTCATAATTATCAGAGACAAAGAATAATTTATTTCTTTCACACAAAATTTTAAAGTGACCAAGGAAGGACTAATAACAAAAAAGTATCAAGACATAGATATTCTAATAATTTAAACTGTCAACAAGTTTTCTGTGAAATATGTGATTACCTCTAATGTGAAGGAGAGGACCACATCAGACTTTGACAGCTGAACCTCATTTTCATCCCCTATGTCCAAGAACGCAGAATTCTGTGATCTCTTTAACTTCTGCAGTTTAAATTCCGGCCCACCTTTAGACACTGGAAGACTTTCCAAATTTGCCATCAGCAAATTCACTGAAGACCGTAGCTCTTCTATGTACATGTTCTCCATTTCTCTTGTTACGAATTTTGGGAATTTTCTTTCCTTGGAAGATATATTTTAAAAGTTAGGGAAGACAAAAAATCATCCCACATCATATGTTCATGTTAATTTACTGGTTTGCTCTCAGTTAAGAGATATTTAATAAAAGTCTTAATTCCAGTGTCTATCTATTTTTATATCTTCAAAACAGTAACGGGAAGGCTAATCCTGTACCATAAACACAGTTACTTTTGACAAGAAGAAATGTAATTTGAATTGAGAAGTCCACCATATTCCTCAAATTTAGTAGACAAAATATCTCTTTGAACATGTGAAAAAAAATAAAGGGGCATTTGTAAAAACAGAACCTCTTGTGCCCCTGAGAACCATTTAACCATAAATCCAGGTTGAATATGTACACATTAGACATTTCTAATACTTGTATTTTAAGTGTATCAATTGACAGTATACCTTTAATGTTACCTTCAAATATTTTATAAATTGACAAAATGAACTGTCCACTAATAATTTTGTTACTTCATCCATTTCCCATGCTACCAAAAATAAGTCAATCACATTCATGCTTCTAACATAAAGCTGTTAAACTACAACCATAACATGAAATTCCTATCATTGTTTATTTCTATTTTTAATAATAGATCATTCATTTTGAAAGTAATACTGAATTATTACACATAGGATTATTTTAAACGTCAGTGTAAGAGAGAACTTAAAAATCACTTTTTTCCTCTGTAGGAGTTAGATAATAGTGTTTAAATATTGTGTTTATAACACAGAGGGAACAAATAAACATATATAATGAATATACGAACATGTATAGAGCCAATTTTACACATAGTTTCTCCCAATATTGAATATAGGGCAGCTTGGCAGACGATGTCACTCAAGATTAAACAAAAATGTAAATTATTCTGAAATATATGCTTTACGTATAAACGAGAAACAAATACTGCTCCCGACATTGTCTGCAAAGGTAGGTGCCTTATTCCTAAACCAGATGATTTTTATCGCTAGCTGTTATAAGGAGTATCGTAAAATGTTTTACATTAGAACCTTTACAGTTGATTTTGTTTCAGTAATGAAGACCAAGCAAGTTGTCTGTGACCCAAAACACCTGCAGCAAGTCCCAGTGGTCTGGCTTATTACAGCACTACAGAGTCAGTATATTACAGATTGAAAAAGAAAAAAAATTTAAAAAAGCTATTTATCGTTAGAAACTAAAAACACAGGTTAAAGTTCAGGGTGCTGTAGCCAAAAATCCCCCACTTTAGAAGTGTTTTTCAAACTGTACCTTATCCTGTGAGGATCATTCAAGTAATAATATGCCAACACAGAAGACAGAAGATAGACTGTTATGTCGTTAAAAAATCTTTCCTCTTGTTAATATGCTTTTTCCACCACAAGGTAAATATTAAGGAAACTTTTTACCATGCTTTTTGCTGTATATGTTTTATGACTATAATCTTCCATGATTTAAGACATCACTACCAGAATATATGGAGGCATTTATTTCTGTAAAACCTGAACGTTTGTAGCCACTTCTCTCCTCCAAAACAAGAGTGAGGATCCTCCATAAAGATTCTGAGGTCTACAAATTTCACCCCTCCCATGCCCCTGCATCTTTTATTTTTTTAGAGGCGGTAAATTTGTAACAAATTGCTGTAGCACATAATATTCAAAATAATTTAGAGACACAACAAGAATAGTGGGTTTTTCCCACTATTTTTAGTGCATATGCACAGGAATGTAATTACGTTAATTTGAACAGCTCAGATTATCTGAGGAAGAACACATCCCCCAGCACAGCACTAGAATTTTGGGAATTCTGCTTGCAACATACAAGAATATATGCTGAAACAAAGACCCTGGGGACAGATGTGAGATACTGATCAAGATGATGTATACACAACCCTTAGTTCTTGTCATGAGTTGAGGCTGGGCTGGCCACTAAGGAATGACAGACACTCTCTATTAACTCCTCTTCCCTCCGAAATGGGTAAGGGCGAGAGAACAAGGGAGAGAGATTTTACAGTTTGGAAAGGAAAACTAAAACAGCTTTAATGGAACAATAACAGGCCTTTGAACAATTCAAATGTAAGACTGTATGTGCAGTATCTCTTGGGCCAGTCCGGACAGGACAGGACACTAAAAATATACTCTATACTGCAGCCAGGGATAATGGTCCAACCTGGAGCTTGTGGCAGAGAGCACCAGGCGAGACTTGAGGTCAACCCCGAGGATTCTGGAGCCAAGGATACAAAGGCTCCGAGGCCAACTATACTCCAACTGAAAAAGAAATATTGGCAGCATATGAAGGAGTCAGAGCTGCTTCGGAAGTGATTGGTACTGAAGTACAGCTCCTCCTGCTGCCAAGATTGCCAGTACTAGGCTGGACGTTCAAGGGTGAGGTTCCTTCTACTCATCATGCCACTGATGCTACCTGGAGTAAGTGGGTTGCATTAATCACACAGCGGGCCTGGATAGGAAACCCCAACTGTCCAGGAATCTTAGAAGTCATTACTGATTGGCCAGAAGGTAAAGACTTTATAATGACACCAGAAGAAGGGGTAACGTGTGCTGTAGAAGCCTCACCGCATAATCAATTGCCAGATAACGAAAAGCAATATGCTCTGTTCACTGATGGATCCTGCCGCCTTGTAGGGAATCGTCGGAAGTGGAAAGCTGCTGTGTGGAATCCCACACTACCAGTCACAGAAGTGGCTGAGGGAGAAGGTGAATCGAGTCAGTTTGCTGAGGTAGAAGCCATCCAGTTGGCCCTGGACATTGCTGAATGGGAAAAGTGGCCAGTACCCTATCTTTACACTGACTTATGGATGGTAGCTAATGCCTTGTGGGGTTTGTTGAAACAGTGGAAGCAGAATAACTGTCAGCGCAGAGGTAAACCAATTTGGGCCGCTGCATTGTGGCAAGACATTGCTGCCCAGCTAGAGAAACTAGTTGTCAAAGGATTCAGGGATGCACGGATCGGGATTGACGACAGAAGAACAGACAGAGTCCTCCTCAGATGTCGGCCATCGACGAAGAGAGATTGACCCTCGAGATCCCTCAGCTTTATATTGAATATGACGTACATGGGATGGAATACTCTGTTGGTCAGGTTTGGGTCGCCTGTCCAGTTTGCTCCTCCCTGCAGGTGTGACCTTTTTCATGCTGGCAGCCCTTTTCACTTATGGCACCCCAACACGGAGCACCAGATTTAGCAGTGACCTTGGTTGCTATAAGAACAAGTATAAGCAAGGGCCTCTCTGCATCCCATTCCTTGGTACTGACTATAAACATCAGGCCTTATCACTGCTAGAAGCAGTCACTGTCTGGAAAAACATGCTGCTCTTTCAGAAAGTGCAGTTAGTTAGAGGAGACTTAACTGAAAAGTTAAAGCACTAAAACAGAATTAGTTCTGGTTTAGCCCAAACCAGGACAGGTCTAGATTGAGAGTGCTAAAATGGATTTTCAGGATGCATTTCTCAAGGAAAAAAGACACTGGGTAGCCTTTTCATAGGATCGCATAGAAGTGTATCTTAGAAAACCATAATGACAGTTACAATAGGCCTAGAATCCCATTAGGTCATACATACTTTGATTTCAACTACTTTAAATGTAGTCATATGAAGAAACAGATGGGCAAATAGATGCACAAATTCCCCATTGATTTTATAGTCATAGATGAACATATTTGTAAGGTTCTTGCCTCCATTAAATAAGTTAAATTATCCTTTAAGCTAAAATAAACTTCTCATATATAATTAACAACTTGTAAGATCAGCAAGTAATGTATTATAGGAACCATGAATGCGACCTCAACAACAACAAAAAAGCTATATACAGAGATTTCTCTTTAGCTGTGCTGATCTTTTGAGACTGCAGTTTAATAATTCTTTTACAGGAAAGTCATCACCGAAAACTCTTTTCTTTACCAACAAAGATGCTCGAATACAGTATGTGGTATCAAAAAGCTTTTTACCTTGTTTTGAGCTCTGAGAATAAAGTTCATATTTTGCAGCATTTGATTGCTTAAGCTTAAATGACCTTAATTCTCAGAGCTGCTACAATTAGGACTAGCTCTCAAAGTCCACAAAAAAATAAAAAGTGTATTTTAAGTAGTTTAAAAGAGATATATGAAAACTGATCTGTTACTTGGATGTCCATGTAGGACACGGAGTTCCTTTCTCTGTGCTAAACTGTGCAGTTGACACTGTGTAACCATGAGAATTTTCAAGTAATGGTTTGGGTAAAAGATGGATAAATAATTTTTTCTTTAAAAAAATCTACAGCTATGCAGTGTATGCACATTAGAGACAGAATGAAGAAGATCTACATAGTTTAAATAGTGCTTAAAATTTTCACTTGCTTTAAAACGAATTTGAAACTCTTATGGAAAGCATTTTGCTTTTTAGGAAGATAACACCTCCAAGTTGTTATTTATGAACTTCATAGACTTAAATGATATTTTTTTCCTTTTAAAGAACCAAGCAACTCTTAACTGCTTTACAATTAATATCATTTTAACATAACATGCTTTTTTCTGCACACACACAGTATAACATACATGCTTCCAGTATTTTGTAACTTTTGGAGCTAAAGGCAAGGAGGCAACAGAGGAAACACAGGATTATTGGACAACTATGCTTACAAACCCAGGCTTCACAAAAGATTGAAGAGACTTGAGATTACCTTTCTGTGACAAACAAGTCTCCCCAAAATTAAGTAAAATATGGCCAGGGACAATACCAATCCCATGTGTGATATTTAATATTGAAATACAATGCAAGCTTTAGGAGAGAAAAATAGGCCTGGCTTTCTAAAATTTACAGAAAGAATTTATAATTTACCCAATTATCATTAATTTGACCTACATGACTCATTCATAGTTTGTTATAACCATTATGAAGTTAAATTTAATCTATAAATGTAAACTATATTATATATTCTTAAAAAGTATATCACATATAAACAGTAGTAAGATATAAACATTATGGTTTAAGCACAGCATAATGCACTTGTGTATATAAAAGATGACTTAATTTAGTTCCAAAATATACAATCCTAAATAAATCCTACGCTTTGTTTCACCAGTGGACTTGCTGATGAAGGAAACATAGGATCACACAACATATGACTTTCCAAAAATAAGTTTTACTTTCTCCCTACCCTGGCTGACACAGAAACTCTAGACCAGAAAGAAATCCATCTGCCAGACTGTTTTCAAAAGATCTTCTACTTAATTTTAGAATCAGAAACTGGAAACACACACTACATATTGTCCCACTCAATCTCATATGAAGATAGGTTTTTGGTACATCAAAGCAACCTCTTACCCTTGACATTTGTTCTGCCAATTGTAGTCGTCCATCTAGTTCACGTCTGATCTGGGCTGCTTGCTCATCTCCATTATCCAACTTGGATAGAAAACAAAAATAAAGTTAACTGTGAGAAACATGCCCTATATTCTGACTTTATAGCAAGTAACGTAGTTAAAAACAAAATAGAAATGAATTGCATCCTTTTCGTCTTAAAATCAGTGAAACACTAAGCAAATATATAACTTTGAGGCTTACTAAGACAAAAGAAATGTAATGGCCACCAGTTACCCTTGGCAGTCAGGGTCTCTGAAGGGTAGCCAGCATTCCCTTGAGCTTTTAACACTTATGCTAAATAGAAATATTATTTCCTTTTGAAAATAGCCGCTGAAAACATTTCTCCATGAAGCAGAAAACTGGACTGACATTAGAAAATGTTTGCAAGGAAATCTGCTCTTTGGTGCCATGATTTCCTGTATAGGAACAAATAGGTACAGGAAAAGAAAACTGTGTGGCTATGCCTTCTAACTATAGTATTATTTCACACACATAGCTCTTTTCCCCAAATATTGGCCAACTGCTCACATCAAGGCATACCCAAGTTTTGAGCTTTTAGTATTTTCATACTTAGGGTCAGACTAAACACCAGACTTCCTTCAGGGAGGTAAAGGGGAAGGACACACCTCTTCACCTCAACAGAACAGCTGGGTCTCAACAGAAAGGAGACTCCCCAAGTAATTTTTCACCTGTTTTCTTGTTAAGGGTGGTGGTGGGGAGTGCAGGTGAAGCGGGGCTTCATCTCAATGCACTGACCTGCACAGCTGGTGAAGAGGAAGAAGAGTGATGCATCTGGAAAAGATCAGGCAAAACTTGCGTTCTTACCTGAATAAATGCCAAACAAGGACAAAGACGGAGTTCCAATGGAGGGCTCTCTCCGTCCCTAGGTTCTAACCAGAGACAGGATATGGCATGCTGATATGACCCCAGTGCATTTAGTACGCGGCTATAGGTTTAACAATACCTGAATTGCTCTTCTCTAAAAAAACTCCAATTGATTAGGGATGCAAACTGGCAAAAGTGGGTTCTCTAATTAAATGCGATCTTCAGCTAAAGAATGCACAATTAGTTTGACTCACTACATTGAACTAAGATTCTTAAGTAAGACTGCTATTCAGTGCATCAGGACAAATACATAACACCAACTCCCTTGCAAAGCTCCTCAGCTAAATCCGTTAGATCTTACTGAACATGAAAACTAGGCATCTTTTCCTTTCAAAATCCAATTTTAAGAAAGGAATAATTAAAAATACACCATCCAGTGTTTACAGGTCAATTACAAAATCATGCTTAATGCAAATCTGACCACATTTAGCAACAGGATGAAAAGTTTTCCACTGCTAGTGTGGAAGCGATGACAGAACATGCAATCTGTCACCTATGCAATCTGGCGTCTCACAAGATCCTTGTAGAAACCGATTCAGACTACCAGAAAGCAAGAGAACAAAACCTGATGGCACCCCCAAAAGAGGCTCAAGTTTAAATTACAGAGTGGAAGATAGATCATGTTCCAGACTTGAAGAATCCTCCTGCTAATTGTGTCTGTAGATTTGCTCCTAGCTTGACTGTGAGCATAAATGGCAAGAGCGTTCTTGATGAAAGCAAATATCTTAGGTTTTCAGAATACAAAACCAGTATTTCAAATAAATTCCCAAATTTGTATTCTTCCATTTCTTAATAGAGTAAGAGACTGTTTATTGAACTTGTCACCAAGAATATTTCTAACTTCTATTTTCCTTTGTATTATACTCACGTCATTTTTGCAATTATTTTTGTTTAATCACTCTAAAAGTCAGTCTAATATGAAAACCAATTTTGTTTGCCTTTTTTGGGATAAGAGAAGGTCAACATTATTTTAATAACATATCCCATGACAGGCAATTGCTTGAAAAATATCTGCTTGAAGGTAATTTTGATTTCTGTAAAAAGGAGGGTGTGGGAGAGCAGAATGAAGCTAAAACTTTTTCCTGTGTCAACACACAACTTAAATGACTCAGTCTATTATTAACTCATTTGAAGAGGCGCAAAGAAAAAACTTTTATTTAAAGACTGATATTATTTTTCCATTTAAAAACCACATGAAATGACCATTTAAGTTAGTGAAGGTGTAACATGGTTTTCTAAATCTTAGCATTTTTTCCTTAACTATGCATTGCTTCTCATTATCTGTTTGTACTTGAGTACTTAAAAATGTGCTGATTTCCCTTCTTTCTTACTTTTAAACTTCAGTCTTCTTCCTGAAATACCTATACATATTAATGGTTTTGTTAATGTACGTATGTAACGATGTTTCATAAGGTATGGAAAGAAGCTGAAGAGGTGAAATACCGAAGAAGGTATTTACTTATAGAAGTGAGCCAAGGTAAGAATGACTGGTAGGTCGTTCACAGCTGTCCTAATAAGAAGTAAAGTTATGGATATTAGTAATTTTGCAGTATGCTAAATGAAATGACAATGAGAAAAATAGTAACTTTGATACCATGTTCCATGCAAGGTCATTCTACTTGTTTTTATCCTACATTCAACAAAATGCATCAAAAACAACTTCGCAAGCAAAGCAGTCAGCGACTATAAATGTGTAATCAATCATACTTTATATAATCTATTGCATGTGAAGTGACAACCACAGTAAAGCTGAGTAGATTCTGAAAATGCAGGTGGTATTTGGAATTTGTGAGTTGTGTCCACTTTTTTTAAATAGGGAAGACACTTGAAAGAACCCACCATACAGGTAGGATATGGTGACAAGGATTAACATTAAGTATACCCTTTTCTTTAACTCCTTATTTGTAGATCAAACCCATACCCAAGACATCTGTGGAGTACACAGTTATGACAATCATTGCAGTAATTTTCAAACTGCTAAATAAAAACTAGAAAAGCATACGACATGCATAGAATTTAACGTAATGTAATATTGCAGAATAGCAACTCAGATTCTTCTCAGTATTGCAACTGAAATTTGGTTTAAAAAAAAATCACTAATTGGTAATCACTTAAAATTCAAGCAAATGAGTTTTGTTGGTTTGGCGTTTGGGGTGGTTTTTTTATTTTAAATAATTAGCACTTACATGGCATCACATAATGCTTCCCACTCTATAATACGAAGGCATTTTTAAAAAAAATGTTACAGCCTTACAGATTATTTTAAATGAGGGTACATATAAATTCCATTTAATAAAAACATTTCAACTTTCTGCAATGGTAGCAATTGTACGCTATACCTATTTATTGACTGCACCAACAACAGAGATGCTCCTCAGGTCACTTAAACCTCACATAACCAATTAGTCAGTATTTTAGCAGCAGGGAACCTCACTACAGAAGACTCTACAGACACCAGAGAACTGTTTTTAAGTATAAAATACATTAGGAGTCTTGACCGAACAAACCAATGTTTCCCCTAAATGCCATATATCTGGCCTGAAAAACTTGTAAAATCTAGGCAAAGACTCCCCTTTTGAGGGCTGGTTAATTCAGTAGGAAAATTCCAAACTGAGCAAGAGCATGCATAAGACAGCTGTGTTACTGTGCCCTTTCTTTTTGCAAAGATGGTTATTTGTATTTTAAAAGCCTCTTCAGAAAAATCAGTAGTTATGAATGACTACGCTTGGGTGAATAAGAAGCTACTTTTTACACACAAAAAAAAGTGGAAGCTCATCATCTTTTTTGTTCCCAACGGTGTCATATAAAAACAGCTTTCTAAAATAAACCTGCCACCATTAAGACATCAAGCTATTCATTTGGAAATGTTTTTATTCATTAATGCTTGAAGCTGTCTTTATTTTTTCTTACTCTGAAAAGGGCAATCATTTTTATTACAAACTTCTTAATTAGTAGAGATGGAGTGGGAATGTCCTCAATATGCAAGTTGCCCAACAATTCTTATTAGAGGATGTTTTCAGTTGCTTACACAAGTATTGACTTCTAAAAGACAAACTGAAGTTTTCTACTCCAAATTTCTGCTTCAACAACTTCAACCAACACACTCCATTGCTTCTGAAGAGACCAGTGAAGACAATACCCTGCTTTATCCATAATAAGAAAACTGGTGACCATCTTGTCAAAGAGCTCTAGCACCACCTTGCTTTGAAGTAAGGATCTGAAATTTAGCAGGGTCCCATCTGTGAAAATCAGCTCAACTCTGGCCAAGTTACAAACCTTTGAAAAATCAACTTTGCAGCAGTCAGGCTACAAACAGCTACTACCAGAAGCTTAATCAGATTCAGCATTCAGACTCATCTTCAGGTTGTTCTGCTCTCTATCTTGAATATTCATTGAGTCTACACTCCACAGATTATTTGCTTATTCAAGAAAGATTGTAAGCTTATCAGAATTAAAAATCACTATTTGGATCAACAGTATGATATTCACAAACTGTTTAATTTGTGTGCCTAAACAGCATGGAACAGAAATACATCTGAATGAATGAACGTTTCTGTATTTTAACAGGTTGGAAAAGACTGCATACTTTGTGATTCCCATTTAAATAATAACTTTTTTTTTTTTTTTTTAAAAAAAATAAAATTAACAGTCTGTAACATACCTGTGTTATTTTGGTGCAAAAGAAAAATGGGACACTGGCAAAAAATCTGGTTAATATGCAAAAGCAACTTAAGGTAATAAAACGTGCTAATACTATCAAGAGGTACTGTACTAAAGCCCATGGCACTCATCTGCATTCCTCTACATACAAAGTAAGCCAGACATCCTATGCCCAAGAAACAAGAGCAGTTTGAGCATGGATGAGCACTGATCTGCTGCAAGACATTGTTCTTTACATTCACAAGCACTCAAACTAACTAGTGCTCAATTTTGGTCCAAGTGACTTTTATTAATTTGGTTAGCTTCCCTGCAGCTTTCTAATTCACAGTAGCATCAATGTGAAATTACATTTACCTGCTCATAGCGATATAAATTTCTCTACATTTAATGACTAAATTGACAGTGCACATATCTTAGGACTCGCTCTTCTTTCTGTGACACAAAATCCAAAGTCTTTTCACTCTGTGTGGCAGTAATGGTCATTTTTTCTTTAGAGC